TCGTACGATTTCTAAAAATTGTATATTTTTACAGTCGTACGATTTCTGAAAATTATATATTTTTACAGTCGTACGATTTCTAAAAATTATATATTTTTTACAGTCGTACGATTTCTAAAAATTGTATATTTTTACAGTCGTACGATTTCTGAAAATTATATATTTTTACAGTCGTACGATTTCTAAAAATTATATATTTTTTACAGTTGTACGATTTCTGAAAATTATATATTTTTTACAGTCGTACGATTTCTAAAAATTATATATTTTTTACAGTCGTACGATTTCTAAAAATTGTATATTTTTACAATCGTACGATTTCTGAAAATTATATATTTTTACAATCGTACGACTAAATGACGCGAGTATAATTAATTATCGTGTCTGAATATTTTCATAAATGCCGTGCAGATAATATGTCTCCCGTTGAATTGTCGCGCGCCGAAGTAAGGAAATGCACCAGTCGAATCTAACTTCTATGCACAAAATTGTCCACTGTCGAGCAGAGTAAACCCGATGACAAATACGATGATATACCGTTTAACGTAATCATGTAAGTGTTTTCCATTTAGACGACGGCGGATCGATATTTCGCGACGGTGCAAAAAGATTCGGAGTTTAGAACGCGGCGTAAACAATCTTGCGTGCGCAATGGTACACAGCTACACGACGCTCTGCTTGGATTTCGCGAGGATATTGAAAAGGGTAAATAGGGATTGACAAACAAATCCGCGGCGCGTATCCGCCCGGTGTCCCTTTCTTTCTCGAAGCGACATTGTCAATTTTGTCGGTATTGTCGTTGGTTGTTGACCGTGCTGTCTGTGACTTTATAAAATAACACACCGTCGCCAGTTTTTATCGCACCGCGGATTATTTAATTGGCCACGTACACACACGTATGTAGAAGCGAAGTAGACCGCTGGTTTTTATCCTTCTCTCTCTCTCGTTTTCTCTTCCTTTCCTTCCTTCTTTTTCTTTTTTTATTTTTATTTTTCTTCTCTTCACTCCTCCCCCTTTTCTTTTCTCTTTTTTTCTCTTCGCTGGTTTTGTTTCATCCCGGCGATAAAGCGTTCGCGGGCGAAAGAAAATGAGAATCGTTAAAGTGGATGAAGTACGTGAAAGGAGAGCAGAGTTGAAATAACGAAACTGCGGCAGTTGCCCGTTAATGAAAAGAAAACATAAATAGCAGCAAAAGAAGGAACAATGGCGACTTGTAAGAGAAACGAAAGGTCACGAAGGTGAAGAAGAGGGATATAACGGCCGGTGTTAATGAGAAAAAGACACAACGCGTGGCAGGGCTACGTCCCGTGATGTAACTCTCGCTCTTTTTTTTCGCTTCCTTTGTTTCTGATTTAAAACCACCGAAATAAAATAACGCCTGCAACCCCGATACGTACAGCAAATGATACTACAAACTGACGTGCACACGCGTGGTAAACAAATTCAACGAACTCGAAATCCTTGTAATTTTTAATAAATGTGTTTCAAGGATTTTACATGCACGATGTCGTGCATAAATAATTATTGGACAACGCTTGGCGCAAGTCTATCAGATTCTTGATATTTTTTTGTTTCGTTTCTATATTTTCTTTATTATTGAATTTAGTCTGAAGCAAGGAACGTATCTTCATTTCTTCCTTCTTTCACGTTTATTTCTTTTTCAAATACGGGACGAAACGTGTATTTTAATCTGAACATCGAATGCTTGAGTATAAAAATAATGACGGTTATTAACTATCAAACTAAAAAATCGATCACTTATGACACTTGAAGATCCTCTGAACTAAAAGACTATACTGAAAGTATACTAAATACTACTTATAAATATTGTAGACATAGACAAGACACAAAAGACTATACTGAAAGAGAAAAACAAGATAAAACCATTATGTCATATAAATGTAACAAATAAAAAGGTGTATATAATTTATATAATACCACACTAAAAGATAGGAAGACATACAGGGTAAAGATAATTATAAAAATACTAAAAGACATGGATATTAAGATGTAGACACACACAGGGTCGAGAAAGATAATTATACACTAAAATACGTAGATATTAAAACTACTTTATAAACAATATATAAAGGATAGAAAGACACAGACGAAATAAAGATATTACATCATATTTGATATACGATATTCACTTTTTATAATATAAGAAAATAATCTTTTATAATATAGTAGACTTTAATTTATATATATATTATTCTAATATAACAAACTTAATAAAAAAATAATCTTTTATAATATAATAAACTTTAATTTATATATATATTATTTCAATATAATAAACTTGATAAAAAAATAATCTTTTATAATATAATAAACTTTAATTCATATATATATTATTTTAATATAATAAACTTAATAAAAAAATAATCTTTTATAATATAATAAACTTTAATTTATATATATATTATTTCAATATAACAAACTTGATAAAAAATAATCTTTTATAATATAATGAACTTTAATTTATATATATATTATTTCAATATAACAAACTTGATAAAAAATAATCTTTTATAATATAATAAACTTTAATTCATATATATATATATATATATATATATATATATATATATATAATTTTAATATAATAAACTTAATAAAAAATAATCTTTTATAATATAATAAACTTTAATTTGTATGAATATTATTTTAACATATTAAACTTAATAAAAAAATAATCTTTTATGATGTAACAAACTTTTATATATAAAAAAATAATATAATATAATAAAAAAAATCTAATAAAATTAAAAAAATATATAATAAAAAAGAATATAATAAAATTTATAAAAAAAAAATTATCAAACAAACACGTACGACGTTCGACACTGCGATCATTACCGCCGGGTGGTAAATAGATTATGAAGAAGACAGGGGTGGGTGTAATTGAACACGCAAAATTCTTTTGTGCGTGCTCGACGAACGCGATAGGTAACGAATTTTCTATTCTGGGGAAAAGATCCTTGAATATCCTTCGTCGATCCACCCTGTTACCAATACTTACTACCGAGCGAAATAAGTTTTGCGGTAATTACGGCTTACAGGGTCCCGGAGAATCATTGCAATATAGAATCGATAGTTAACTCGTCTTTTCATTCAGCCGAACTTTCGGCAGTCTATTCCGGCACACTTCGGCGTCGGGCGTGTAACGAAGTTGTTAGCGAGCGAGTAACAAAAGTAGTTACCTGCAACGGTGCAGAAAGTTAAATTCGATTCCGCCGGTTGAAGTTTAATCGTGTACGTACCTACGAACGATAGAAACCAGACGGATTGTTCTTTTGCGGGGTTAAGTACACGACGAAAATTTCGAAGAGACAAGTCCAAGTCCAAGTCAAAATCCGTCGAAGAAAGGAACAAAGAAAGCAAACGGCCGAAACTTCTGCCCCCTTCCTTCGCACCAGTTTGTTCCTCTCGGCAATAACTTTCAACTTCAAGGTCCCGATTAGCCTTTTCTCATGTACTATACAGACATGTATATATATATATATATATACATCATAACGATAGCAACGTTTCAAATTCTCCAAAATGGCTCGACTTCATCGCGAGAAAACTATAAAAACTCTTTAAACTTTAGACCTCTTTTGCGCTGGAATGACGTGCCATGCAGGCAGTTTTTTTTTTTTGAAAAATTGACAAACATTTCCTCCGTTTTAAGTTTAACTTATATTGAAATATAACCCAGGCAAAACAAATGATAAATTTATCACTTCTCAGTGATTTCTAATGTCTAAGTTTCGAAATCAGAGTTTCAAGAAAAGAGAGCGACGAAT